AAAACTGGTCAGTCAGTTACAACATAGAACTTCGTACTGGAGTACATAGTCAGTCAGTCAGTTGCAACGTAGAACTTCGTACGTATGTACATAAGTTCATGTTGCCATACCACAGCACAGAGACGCAAATGTCAAATCAAATCCCATAGTGATAAAGATAGTAGAGGTATTAATGTTAATAAAGAAGACTAGGGTTCGAAGAAATTATTCAAGAAATATAATTCAGTGAGATAAGGTTAGAAAGACAAAGGTAGAGGTGCTGACGAATCCAGAAGATTAGGATTTGAGAGAGCTCAAAGAGTGGATGCACCTGCGCCATTGCAAACGATTTTGAGCCATGTCGCTCAAGGTCTCTAACGAACTCGCATCGTTTGCATTAGCTGTGCACTGTGATAAATGAATGTGAGAAGAGTTAGTCGTAGAGATAAGAGAGGTGTTAGGGAGTGTAGGAAGGATTTGATTTTGAACAATTTGGTCTCGTGTGCTGTTACGGGTATGAGGGCGGTTATCACTTCCCGGCTGCCCACACCGTGGAAGGTTGTTTCTTGAGGGACCTGAAAAGGAAGATAGATTAGTGTTGGTCTCGGAGACCTGGTTGCGTGACCGCAGAGTCCAAGGGCAACTGCTTGAGGCCGGTCACGCACGGCCTTTTTATGAAACGTTTTTTGAGGATTAGCTCCGCTCTTAAAGGCCCTTAGTGGGCACCCTTACCCAAGGAGACGGAAATCCGTGAGGTAGGTTGAGGTGTGACATTTTTAGGGCCGACCTTTTCTAACCCCTTCCTTCCTTGTGAGAAGTCAGCCTCGCTGCAGATGCTGGTTGTCTAAGGGAAATACCTTACTGCTGTCACACCCCTCTGCAGTCAGCAGTACGACTTCGCCCTCAGACCTTGGGTAGCTGCTTTTAGTCTCATGGTTCTCCAATCGACCTGCCTGGCATGGTAGGACCTGCAGGAACATATGTTCTAGCCAGTATAGCTCGGTCGGGTCATCACGACAGGCAAGCCCGACCACCACGTCAAGGTAGCAGCCTCGGTCGACTGGAGTACATAAGTTCAGGTTGTCATGCCGCATTAGCACAGAGACGCAACTGTCAGTTAAAATCCCATAGTAGTAGAGATAGTAGAAGTATTAGCAGCGATGGAGAAGATTAGAGTTTGAAGATATGATTCGAGAAGTATAATTCAGTGAGATAACTTGAAGTAGAGAGAGGTAGAGGTGATGACGAATTCAGAAGATCAGAATGTTATAGAACACAAAGAATAAATGCGCCTGCGCCATTGCAAACGATTTTAAGTCATGTCGTTCAAAGTCTCTAACCATCGGTGATTTTTGTCTATCGGACCCCAACCTGGTAGTCGATATCTACCAACATGACTCAATCCAGTTGTCAGTGACTTCGTGGATTTCTGCCATATTTTGGTTTGACCGCCCCTAACTTTCTTCCAACCTACTCCCACACCACAAAACATAGCTCGTCGAGGCAGTCGGTCGTTGGGATGTGTGTAATGCATACTCAACCACCTCAGCTGATGGAGTTTCACTACTTCATCCATTGATTTGCCATCCCTACCTAGCACTTGTTTCTTAACGACAGCATTGCTTACTCGGTTGTCCCAAGATACACGAGCACTGCTTCGAAGACATCTATAATCGAAGTCACATATAACGGATCTGACCCATGTTAGTAGGTGTAGACTATCTGGTTGGGGTCCGCAAGACAATAATAATCGATAGTTAGAGACTTTCAATGACATGACTCAAAATCATTTGCTATGGCCCAAGTGCATCCAGTCTTTGTGTTCTCCCAAATCCTCTCAAATCCTTTTTACACCTTCTAATAACTCTAACTGATATCATTTACTATATCTACTGGCTAGTCTCTATCGTCTTATAAACTAATCGTTCTAAGTTAAAAACTTGATTATTTCGATGTGAGTTGTCAGAGATCTGAACGCAATGCATGCTCTAACTTCTCAAAACTGACTACTTAAGAGAGATGATTAGAAAAAGTTTATTTGTGTTGAATTAGCTACCAGAAGCCTACATAGGCTTCCAAGAAGACGAACAGTTTCTGTCCATTCACCACAGCTTGATAAAATCTCTTGAATGTCGATGTTTAGATGATGGCAGATCAATAGATGAAGTCTTCAAACTTCATCAGTTGAGGTGGTTGAGACATGTGTTGCCAACTCTCAGCCACTGACAGCCCCGATTATCGATATTTTGTAATGTAGGGGTAAGTTTGAAGAAAGCTAGGGGCGGCCAAAACGAAATATGACACAAATCAATGAAGTCACTTACAAGTGAACTGAGCTATGTTAGTTGGTGAAGACTACCTGGTTGGGGTCAGCAAGACAATAGTAACTGATACTTAGAGAATTAAATGGCTCAAAATCGTTTGCGATAACGCAGATGCATCCATTCTTTGTGTTCTTTCAAGTTCTACTGTTCTCAATTCCTTATCCCCCTTAACTTTTTCTCTCTCTAAATTTATTTCACTAGTTTACACTCCCTTATTAACATCTTCAAACTCTAATCTTTACGATTACTGCACATAATTGTACTGTATCTATTTGTATAGGATTCGAATTGACAATCGCTTCTCTGCCCTAGCATGGTGTGGCAACGTGAACTGATGTACATACGTACGTACGTACGTATGTACGAAGTTGTACGTTATAGGTAACTGACTATAATCTTTCATTTAGCTATTTAAATCAACATGTTGGCTATATTGTCGTTATATTTATTATTATTCTTCTTATTATTATTTTCTAAAGATCGAATAATGACGTCTACAGCTAGTCAACCATTAGATAAATCACCTCAAGATAATCGATCATACAAAACAATTGTACAGACAGAACGTGAAGAATACCTGTTAAAATGTAATCAAAATCAATCCACTTCCATGATGGTATCCGATAGAATTATTGATTCACAAACTACTATTTATGCTGCCGATGAATTAAATCCTTCCCAATTAGAAATAAATCGTAAAATGAAATCAAAAAAATCTAAACGAGATCGTAAAGAGAAAGATCGTAAAATGTCTACATCCAAAAATCGTGATGTGATGTTATTGGTAAAAATGAAAAAAGACAATAAACAACAACGAAAAATTACCTCTTCCGGTGCAGGTACCATTAACAATCCATCAGATTTTCATAATTGGGAGTCGTTTCAAAAATATGCTAAATCAACAACAGATCGTCATCATGGCACTCTATTACAAAGTCGTTCAGGTTCATTAGATTCTATTTCATCAGCTTCATCACAATTAAGTAAAGTTTCTGCTTATTCTGGTTATTCATCACATTCGTCGCCAGCGACAACATATCGTAAGTCAACATCATTAACAAGTGGTCATCAACAATCACAACAACAATCACAACAACCACAACCACAACTTCGACATACATCTCAATCACCTCATGATCTTGATGATGAATCGTATGGTTATTATTCTAAGAAACGTTATCATCGTGAAGCTAGAGAGACTGCACCACCACCTGAATCTACACGTCATTATACTGGTTCGAATGCACAAATATCAATGAAAATGAAACATAAACGTAAAGCGGATAAACGTGAACTGTTGGAAAGTAGTAACAATACTACTAATAATAATTATAGTACAATGAATTTACCAAATAAACGTGAAAAACTATCACAAGATAAAGCAAATGCCAATCTAGACATAGACGACGATTCACGTACTACACATTATCATCCTCATCATCATCATCATTCTATTACAACAAGTTATATTAAAGGTAAAATGTTAAAATCTGTTGGAACTGAACCAAGTAAGCATAAAAAACATTCATCATCATCATCATTATCATCATTGAAAAGTTCAAAATTAAAATCCGGTAATCGATTAACGTTGAAAAGATTATCGTCCAGTTCCAAACATGCAAATGATTATGAACAAGAAGAAGGGGAAGAAGAAGTAGAAGGTAATGACATCAGTGTACAGCAACAACAACAACAACACCGCCAACAGCAACAACAACAACAGTATTCTGAAGAAAATGATTCAGATGATACACATACTAAACGAATCAATCATGACGGTAGTTATCATAACAAATCAATAGATATAAATGAGAAGATGAGTGGAAAATCTAAAGAATTATCACAAGGATTATTATTTCCTACTGGAAATGAAATAAAAAATGAATTCAATCGACTCCATCTACCACCAGCTCCACGTTATCCAGGCTATTCAGAATCTTCTTCATCATCAGATGAGGAGGAGGATGACAATGATGTAGCAGTAGTTGGAAATAATTTCTTACGTAATGATCATGAAATGAAAGTTGGCGATGAAGATGATGATGAGGATGTTAACGACGATAAGTATAGAGAACTACGTAAAGGTGATGATGGTGTTGATGATGATGATGTTGATAATGAAGATGAGGTGGATTCGTTTAAGAATAAACCACCAGGAAAACCATTTTATTTTCCATCTATACAAGTAAGAGGATACTACTTTTTTCATATATTAAGTAGTAATATTAATAATAATTATTATTATTGACTTATTTTCTACACTGAATAATAATCAATAACAAGGTCTTTAATGAAAATTATCATATACTCATTAGTGACTAGCTTCATGAGAAGTTGTCCCCAAGTTCTAGTGAGAAGTCCAATGACTAATAGAGTTCAACCCTGTTCGATTGTATGAAGTAGTGCCCATTGAAGATAGTAGATAAGGTTGCGCAAGGCCATGAATTGATCGATATTAGACATTAACATCGTCGGATACTGGCCTAGTAGTCCAGAGGTTAAGAGTTTGCGCGCAAGATCGAAGGTCCTGGGTTCGATTCCTGTGGTTGACTGGATTTATGGACAAAACGGTCATCCAATGAGATTCCAGGTTTATCAACGGGTTGGTCTAACATTGATCGATTCATGATTTCAATAAATATGATATTTTGTCTAATTCCTTAATACTCTCACTAATTTTCATTCAAATGTGATCAATAATCGAGTTGATTCCATATAACATGCATTGTAATTTGATGTGTGAGTTGGTTAGATTATAGATATTAGTAAAATTTTGAATCGCAAATCAAATACCTGTGGACATGTGTCTTTAAGTGATACCTAAATATTTATACACGACACAGGTGATTGGATTTGTGAGTGTGCTGGATTATTGCTTAGATGCAAGGGATTTTCATAGAGAGTCATTCCTTGAGTCTTTGATCTACCGGTCTAGTCCATAAAACAGTGCAGTTCATAGTCAATATGCGCTTCTCCTATGTTACCGTTATAAAGAATCATCATTCTATCCCCCTTCCCACACTTTACACTGCATTCTTTAGCCTATTTATACCATGTCTCGGATCGCTATCGAGAGCCCTTCAACTCATAGTCTCTGACGCTACATCAACCCACTACCTCGCCTCCTCTCTCTTCCCCGTGGTTACTTTACTTCTCTTCTTAACCCCACGATCCGCACCACCCTCAGATTAATCTAACAGACTCCGATGGCCACTAACCTCCTCTCACTCACAACCCTTTCTCATGTTCCTATACGTGTACTCCTATCCCCTGCTCACCGCTCTCCCTCGAACAAACTTGCGCGCGCATCTACGTACATAGTTCAGACGCACTTGTAGAGATGATGTACAGCAGAAGCCCCCCCCAACATGAACACTCCATAGAACACAGACACTTTTTGTAATGATACATGATGCAACAACCCAATCCGCCGAAATGAGACACTTCCACTGTGCACTGACATGGCACACAGAGACTCGCAACACCAACGAGAAAAAAAAAAATATATATCCAGAAGACACACTTATCGGACAGGAGAGAGAGTTGGAAAAATCCCTCATTCCTAGCACCTAGTGGTGTTACATCCCAGGCTACAAGCACAATTCTGATGGACACCAACGGAAACAGTTCCTCAACGGACTTACCTGTTAAATCAATGATAACCCCAGCTGGCGACTGCATAGACTATATGAACGTACTGCACACTGCTTTTATGGACCGCTTGTTAGCACCGGATATCTCCCCGCTAGACAACAGACTCAAGGATCGCATCGACTCATCTTATGAAACTAATTCCATACTGGGCATGTCCTAAGCATATAATCTCAAGCACACCCAATCACAAATCCCCAATCACCCCACTGGTGTTCTGTGTTACTAAATATTAAGGCTATATCACTTCAAAGACAACATGTCACCACAGGTATTTCGAATTTGCGCATTATCCAAAATTCTTAACGTATATATACTCTATATATAATCTAACCAACATCACACTATCGTAACAACCGTCGATCACATCTGCATCGTAATATGGACTCACTCAAACTCACGGACAATCTATTTCGATGCACCAGTAATTGGACATGTAAAAAGTTTAGATTCGAGAGCTATTACATGGTAATTTACGAACAACAATAATCAACTCATTTATTGGCATAATCATGAATTGCGTCACAGTGTATCTAAGACACAACCCGTTAGATATAAACCGTACGGCGAAATACTCATCATGTGGCCACTGGCGACGGTAGTATAGTCCATAAAT